TGTATGAGGAAGAAAGAGCCTATTCAAAAGGTCCTGGCTTGGGATGAATGATAAAAATATGAATTTTGCTCTAGAATGTGTTCAAGGATCCTGCTACTTAAAAGTGTGACCCATGGACCAGCAGCATCAACATGACTTAAGAGTCAGTTAGAAATCAGAATCTAAGGCTCCATCCCAGACCTACTGAGTTAGAATCTACATGTTAGTAAGATCCGCCGCAGGTGATCTGCATCCACAGTGAAGTTTGAGAAGTATAGCTGTAGTAGGATGAGAAGTGTAGCCCTAGAGTCTAGGATGAATTGATTTGGTTTAGTCCTTCTGAAAGTTACCAAAGGCTTTTAATAGCAAACTCCCAGTAGTGTGCTATAGCCATGTGAGAACCAAGTGTTGTCAGAAATTTTGTGTTAGTTGATTTTATATTTGATAGCTTGAAATTAGCTGTTGTGTGAATATTTACACCATGGAGATGGGCAAATGCTACAAATTCAGTTCTTTGGTACTGGGAGCCAGTTGTTAAACATTTACCAGCAATTCCACTGTACAGTTCTAAATCTCCCAATTCAATCTGGAATGAAAATAGTCTCCCAGGGGTATTTGAACAGAGTATCTCCCATATATGGGGGTGGAAGGACGGACAAAATGAGTTCCAATTCCTTCTAAACTTTCTGCTTCATGACTAAGAAACCATTATTCTAGATAGTCATTTCTTTGTGAAATAATAATCTGAGTCTGAAGTAAATCCCAGGAAGGAAGGGAATCTAGGAGTTGGTAATACTCAAAATCCAGATAGGCAGACAGGTAAACACTGGAAATTTGTCAGCTGACAGCTGGACAGTTTCAGAGCTGAAATCCAAGTGTAGAGTAGCAGATGTTGTATAGGGGAGAAGATAAGAGCTTTAAAGACACCATGTGGGGAAATTCATATTTTTACTGCCTGTGGTATATGGAGAATTAAATTATTAAGCAAAACAACAATTCCCCCCAAATTAATGGTAAGTATGGATGAAAACATTTCATAATATTACATAGGGAGTGGTATTTAAAGTGTGGTCCCTGGACCAGTACATCATCATCACCTGAAAACTGGTATACAAATGCAAAATCATGGGCCCGCCCTAGGCCTACTGAATCAGAAACTCTGCGGAGTGAGTTTTAACAAGTCTCCATGGTGATTCTGATTCGCACTACTGAAGTAGGAAGTGTTGTGGAATTCCTTATTTTTATCCAATAAGAAAACCCATTGTAAACCTTAACTTCAAATGAGAAGTGACTCTTCTTGCAATGAAGTTTTCAGCTCAACTGGAAAATTGTTGAGGAAGACAGAAAACACAGATCAAGAAAAACACAGGTCTAGGCAAATATTTAAAAGCTTTTCTTAGCCAAGCAGGCAGGCAGCTGGCATGTTGCCAAGACTCCTGGAAAGTATAAGCCTCCCTAGAAACCAACTGGTAAAGATTGTTTTAAAGTGAACTTTCAGGAAGTACATAAACACAGTCCTAAGATTTTCTGCAAATAGTTTTGATATAAAGAAAGTGACATCCTAGCACATTTATGGATAAAAATAGCATGTATCATATTAGGAAATAAAGAAATATTGGAAGAAGGGATAGCAGGCTAGAACAACTTACTCATTTTGCCTTTCTAGTTAAGAAGTCTCATTGGTTCTTTACTAATAACAACATCTAACATTAAATGAGTGTTCATTCTGTGCTGGATACTGTAATAAGGACCTTAACAAATTATCTCACTATTAGTCTCATATCACAGATGAGGAATCTGAAGCTCAGAGAGGTATAGTAACTTGCCCTAGGTGGCATGGCTAGTAAGTGAATGATACTGGGTTTCAATTCCAGGAAGTTTAGCTTCAGAATACCACTGCTTAACCAGAATGTTCTACTGCCTCTCTTCAATGAGAACCACATTATGTATTAAATATTTAGGGGCTCAGAGTTCCCATTTCAGAGGGTGGATTTTTGTAGTTTTTATAAGTCTCAAGCTAAATGATCTCTTTATATATTGTTATATATAGATAACTGGATTCTGGACACAGTCATGAAATTCTGGTGTTCAAAATGGGCAATTAGATAAGCTGTACTTCTATAGGACATTGCTTTAATAAGGCTACTACTACTACAAGCATACCACGATAGTTCCAATGTTAAATATTTGAATTCTCTTGTTTTATTAGGAGACATAAAGAAGTACACAGATGGAGGCCAGCTGACTGCAGCTACAGAAAGGGAGGGATGTAGAGTCTAAGGACCAGTGCTTCAAATTTGGGTGTTTGTTTTCATCTGAATGAATTTGGTGAATTTGCTCCAATTCTGGTATATCCTCAAATGAAATTCATCTTTAAGTATCATGTGAGCAATGGTTGTTTTGGTTTGTGAAAAGAAGGAAGGGAAAGAATGAGGGAGAAAGGGAAACCATAAGGGTAGATTTAAGTTGTTAGAATTTTTTTTTTTTTTGGTATAACATCCATAAATGGGTGTACAATGTTTGTAATGACTGCTTAGGTGTTAATAAGACAGAAAAATAAGTTAGAAATATTATTCTTCATGAAGATAAGAACAGTACATAAATATGAAATAAAGCCTTTGTCAAATTCCTAACTTTGGCTGAGTCTAATTTCCTATAGGCAGCTTCATGGAAGCAAGTTAGTTTTTTTCAGCCTTGCTATTTTAAGTGAGTTACTAATTCATGGATGTGCATATTCATTTATTCAAAAACATTTATTGAGAACCTCCTATATTCCAGGTACTGTAGAATGTGCTAAGGTTAAAAAAATGAGTAAGACATGATTTCTGCCCACAGTGAGCTCAGATTTGTGGGAAAAACATATATTGTGGTGATGGTTGCACAACTTTGAATGTTTGAATTGTACAATTTAGATTGGTGAATATTATGGTATGTAAATTAAATCTCAATACAACTGTTTAAAAACAAACAAAACCAGATATAAGCCCTGGGTACTGTACAACATCATGAAGCGATGGCCATAACTCAGCCTGGGAAGGGGAGGGAGGCTTCTTCAGTGAGAAAAGTCTGAGCTGAAATCTTTTTCTTTTTTTAAAGGTTACCTAGGTGATGTGGTACAAGATATTCCAAACAGAGGGGACAGAATGGACAATGTGGTGATGAGAAACCCTGGGGGAATGGGGGAGGGGAGGATATTGGCAGGAGGATTTAAGCTGGGGAGGTAGGTGGAGGCCAGAAGCAGCTCCAGAGGTAGTCACTGGAGGGTTTTATTTAAACTGGGAAGTGATACAATCTGTCACCAGATTTGTTTTAGATAAACCATACCAACAGCTGTGACGTAATGGAAAGGATGCTGATTCTTTTCTGCTTTTTTTTTTTTTTCAGTCAGAACCACCTGTGCGTAGGTCTCAGATCTGTCATATGAAAACTAGATATGTTATATAAATTTGTTAAGTAGTATTATTCAGTTGATCCTAATGACACAGTTTGCCAGCAGGGGCAAAATGTAGTACTGATTGTTAAGATTAATTTAGACCCCCGCTGATTTGGCGCTGAGGTAAGAAAAAGTTTGTTAGTGGTTGGCATGTAGGAAGAGCCGATTTCCCTAAAGATGTTTAGGCTGTCCTATCGGAACCCTGAAACACAGTTTCCTGGGCAGCACGGAGGACTGAAGGTAACACTGCCACGGGGCGCCAGGGTCCAGTGCCCTCCCACCTCTGCACATAGCCTGCTTTCTGTTCCCGCCCCTTTCTTGCTCCTTTTAATCCTTTCCCCCTCTACCAATTTCGGAAGGGAACCCTTTCACAATTCCTTTCGAATTGAAGCGTAGGACTTATTTTACCAACACAATCCGGAACGATCAACATGGCGGCGCCCGTAAGATGCCTCGGTAGAGGTAAAGTAAGGTGGTGTGCGGGCTTGAGGGGAAAAGACTTCTGGTGCAGGGTCTCCTGTTGCAGCAGAGTGCAAGCCATACTCTCCTACTCACGGGTCTGCACTGGTAGCTGGAAAAGCCGCCTGCTTTTTTGGGCTCTAAGGTCTCCTAAGGGTCACTGCTACTGAAAAGTGACCTTTTCAGAGGTTTCACTTCTTTCTGGAGCTGTCCACCCTAGGAGTGGTATGAGAAGGGGATGTACATCGACACCCGTAGGGACTGAGGCCAAGGACAAGGTTCTATCTCTGATACTGGGGGTGGGGACTGGACACGTGAAGTTAGTTTTGGTAAGAAAAGGTGGTGTATATGTGTGGCTCACAACTGTAAACTCTAATATTTATAAAAATGCTCGCTAGTGCTTCAGAGTATTACATAGTTGCAGGCGATTTCAATTCTTAAACTTCCAAAGACGTTGTCGATTTGATCAACATTTTTCATTTGGCGGCTGTTTCAGACATACTTCTTGGTAGCAACTCTTCCCAGCATTTTACAGCCCTTTTTTGGTATTTTTACTTTGTGTTTTTGAAGCACAGTGATGTGTACTGTTATTAAGATAGATTTAGGTGGAGGCAGCATCACCCCCATTTTACACATTTTAGATATCCATACGTGCATGAATCTCTTGTTGGGCTGTTTTTTGTCTTATTAGTTCGCCATTGTATACTTCTGCCAGTACCTTAGTGTATTAACTACCGTAGCTTTATAACAAGTCTTGATCTCTGGTAAGTCAATTCCTTTCACTTTGTTCTTATCTTTCAGAAATACCTTGAGCAACTCTGTGAATGTACTATCTATTTATGAAAATGAATAAAATTTAAATTACTTAAAACATTCAGGATATGTATTCTGTAATAATATAGCTAACACACTCTGAGCCTGAACTAGATTAAAACTAAGGCAAAATTGTTCAATTAGTTGTGTTTACTTGGCTTTAATTTCAAGAAGTAGAGTGTTCATTATTACGCTTTTCAAAGAATGGTTAAGAATCGCAAAATGTTGAATGTTTTTGTTTTGGAAAATAATTAAAACTGTAAGAATTGTGAGTGTAATTATTTAATATTAATAATTTACATTTTTTTCTTTCAAGTCTTGATACATCAAAGGCATAACATCTCTAAGGTGGCCTATCAGGCACCTCTTCATCCTTGTTCTGCATGCATTCAGGTGCCCAATAGACATTTTGCTGCTGCTAGGAAGTAAGTATTTTTTGTTTTTAGTTATTTCATTTGCTATCATTTAAAATTCTGATTAAAAAATATTATACTTGGTTCCATAAATAGATACAGGGACATACAGTTGTAAAATCTGTTATCTCTGCTTCTTTGACTATAGTCCTGTGTTCAAGATATGACTTAATATAATAATACTTAACACTTATTGAACCCTGACATTCAATTATGAATTTAGTCTCCAAAGCAACCTTATTTAGAAGCTATTGTTACTTTACTCTTTTAGAGACAAAAAACAGGGCACCAATAGGTTATGGAATACTTGCCCAAGGTCACAGAGTTAGTAAGTGTTGGGGCGAGGATTTTGTGACATAATAAATTTTTGTATTGGTTTCTGCTCAGTGCCTGACATAGAACTCCTAAAACCCTTGTAAATCTCCTGAGTGTAGCAATGCCAGGAGCATCTTTTGTTCCAATATTGGGTCTTTGATCCATTTCCTGATACGGATCTCCTAAAACCGTATATAGGAGCGTGATAGGAGCACCGTTTTACTAACGAAGCAACTCTTGGTGAGCTCCTTTGTTGGGTCTGGTTGAAACCATGATTAGAATCTTGGAACTTTCAGCCCCACTCTCTATCCTCCACCGACAGGAAAATGCCTACAGATCGAGTTTATAATTGATCATGCCTACGTGAAGAAGCCTCCATCAAAACCTCTGAACTGTGGGATTCAGAGAGGTTCTGGGTTGGTGAACACAATCCACCTGTTAGAGGGTGGCGCTCCAAAACCCAGTGGGGACAGAAGCTCTTATGTTAAAGACCCTTTTTGATCTCACCCATTTACCTAGCTGTTCATCTGTATCCTTTATCATATCCCCTATTATATAATAAACTAGTAAATGTTAAATAAGCATTTCTTTGAGTTCTGTGAGCCATTCAAGTAAATCATGAAGCCTGAGGAGGGGATTGTGGTACACCCAGAATTAATAGCCTATTGATCAGAAGTAGTGGAGGCTGGGTCTTGTGATTGGCATCTGCAGTGGGGGCAGTGTTGAGGGACTGAGTCGGTAACTTGCGGGATCTAATGCTGAGCCACATAGAGAGTGTCAGAATTGTATTGAATTGTAGGGTACCTTGCTGATATTAGAGAATTGGATGATGTGAGAAAAAAAACATGCATTTGGTGTCATAATTCTTGTGAGTAGAGGAAAATAGTTCTATTTACCTATACATGCTGTTCTGTTCTTGCTTGCTTTTAACTTAACCACATATCTTGGAGATTGTTTCAGATGAAACTGTCTAGTCATTCTTTTTTTTTTTTGATTGAGTTATAAATGACATATAACATGCTAGTTCCAGGTATACAGCATAATGATGTGATATTTGTATATATTGTGAAAGATTGACCACAATAAGGCCAGTTAACATCTGTTACCATACAGTTACACATTTTTTCTTGAAATGAGAACTTTTAAGATTTTTCTCTCAGCAATTGTGAAAATACACAATACAGTATTATTTACTATACTTACCATGCTGTACATTATAGCTCCATTACTTATTTATTTTACAGTTGGAAGTTTGTACCTTTTGATGATCTTCACCCATTTTGCCTATCCCTCGCTTTATCCCTCTGGTAACCACTAATCTGTTCTTTCTCTCTCCCTCTCTCTCTCTTTTGACTTTCATATGTAAGTGAGATCTGATAGTATTTGTCTTTCTGACTTACATCACTTCGCATAATGTCCTCAAGGTCCATGCATGTTGTTGCAAGTGGCAAGATTTCCTTCTTTTTCATGGCCTGATAACATTCCATTGTATACAGGGTGGGGGGAAAAGTAGATTGACAGTTGTATGTTGATAATATATTATAAATACATTAGAATATTTAAATATTTAAATATAAAGAATAATATATTATATTATTGATAATTCTTATATTATTATCAATTATTGTATTACTTTCCATACAAACAACTGTAAACCTACCTTTGCCCCACTGTGTATATACCACATTTTCTTTGTCCATCCATCCATCCATTGATACTTAGGTTGCGTCCCTGTCTTGGCTATTGGAAATAATGCTATAGTGAACATGGATATATTTTATTATATGAATTTACCATAATTTAACCATTTTCTTATTGATGCACATTTACCCTTTCAATCTTTTGCTATTACAAATGATCCTGCAGTGAATAGCCATGAACATAGTTCTTGTCAAATATTATGAATATTTTTATAGTATAAATTCTGAGAAAAAGAATTTTTGAGTCAAAAGATGTGTGCGTTTATAATTTTGGTAGTTAATATCAAATTACCTTAATAGAGATCTTGTCAGTTTAGGTCCTTCCTTACCAGCAAGTGGTATTAAAATGCCTGTTTTCTGATACACAGTGTAGCCAAAATTTTTTATTGTTGCCAATTTGATAGGTAATAAATGGTATCATCATGGTTAAATTGTAATTTTTTTATTGTTGAGGTTGTATATCTTGTCACATGTTAAAGAACCATTTATATTTTTCCTTCCTGTGAATTTTCTGCTTTTGTTCTAGTCCCATTTTTTAATTTGTTGATTAGTAGGAACTCTCTATATATTATAAATTAACACCTATGTGCACTGTAACTTTAATGTGATTGAACTGTTAGACCAGAGGCATGGACTAAGTGCTGTGGGATCACAGATGAAAAGTGAATTCTACCTGGAAAAGAGTAGTGCAAGAAATATTTGAATTGGGGTTAGAAAGATAGGATTTTGCAGGGGTATTTGAGGAAGGTGTTTCAGTGGGATAGAGACATGAAGTAAGTGATATGGATGTTACACAGTGATATGACTTGAATATAGGATAAAGAGAGAAGTGATGGAAATGTAACTAGAAAGGAGGCTTCCTTTGAGTGTGAATAGTGCCTAGATTCCTTTCTGTTGTTGAGAAGGTGGAGAAATGTTGATTGTGCCGATTTACATGCCTGCCCAGCAGTGATGAGAGTGCCCAGTTTTCCATATTCTACCAGCCCTAGATATCATCAGTCTTTATTTGTGTTTCTTCAGTGTATTTCTAATTTACATATTTTGTCCATGTTTCCATTGGGTTGTTTGGCTTTTTTTCTGCTTCGTTAAAGCATTTGTTTATTGGGGATATTAATTATTTTGAGAATATTTTATCTTTAAATGTTTTCTTTTATCCTATAGAAATTTATAATTTTATGTCTTTAAATTATATTCTAGTACAACTTTTAAAATTTCACCAGCCTAAAAAGCATGGTATTAGAAGTATGCATGCTTAAAAAATGAAAAATTATAGCAGTTTTTTCCATGCCTGACAATGAGTTATTCAGTAACTTGAAGGGAATCACAGTATTCATAATTATAGTTGTGGTTTCAATTTTTTAATGTACTGACTTAATAATATACTAAAAAATAGTTTTTTCATGGCTAATTTTTAAAATCAGGATCTGAGACAGTAGGGAAGCTTGTGCTTGCTTTTTTTCTCTTGTCATTCTGAATCTCCCCACTCCTCCATGCATGTGTATACATGTGTACACCATGATTTGCCAGTAGCAGCTCCTGTTTAAAAAAGGCCACTGTGTCTTCTCTGACTCGGGCTCTGTTCCTCTCTTGACAATAGGTTATTTTTCTTGCTTCTTGAAGTATTTCATCACTTTTTGTGGACTGCCAGACATTTTGTGTGGAACATTTGAGACTGAAGTACATTATAGTAATTCCTGGAAATGCGCATGCTTCTTCTGTCATGCGCATGAATCAATCCAGTCAGTTATCTAAGGTTTGGTTTTGTTGTTGCTATGGTTATCATCAGCCTCGAATTTCTGTGCTGTCACTTTGTTCTTTGGGTGGGGCCTGGGATGCTGGAAGGCTTTTCTCAGTATTCCTGGTATATGATCAGTTTTCTACCTTGTCTGTGCAGCTGTGGGGGAGAGGATTCCGGGGACGAGGGTCTCTCTCCATGCTCTTGTCCCTCCCCTAGTAGTAGACTGTCCTTGCTCGGTGCTTGTTAGGCTGTGATAGGTGTGTGTGAGATTCTCTGTTTTTCAAATCCAGCCTTCATCTCAAGTAGGCCCAGTGTGGCTAGACCTTGGGGATGGGGTTTTGTCAGTATTTCTGTCCCTTGCCCCCGTGGTGTGTACCTATTGCAGATCTTGTGCGAGAATGTCTGGCCGTTCCACATCTTTATTAGTAGAGCATACTGTGTGCAGGACTGTTTCCTGCCCTACCCCCAGGGGTGGAAGTTTCCGTGTTTTTTTTTCCTTCTTTCTTTCTCTCACACTAAATGGGTATTTACTTACCTGTGCCCTAGAGGGTTTCAGGGTTACTGCTTTTCTGGCTGAATTGGCCAGTCTGCTTCTTGCCAGCACCCTCAAGGGAGGATTTCTACTCCCCTGGCCTGCTCCAGTATTTCCCAAGAGTATCTGGTGGAGGTCTGTGGAAGGGCCCTACAAACTGAGGGTGAACTCCCCTTGCATTCAGATCTCCCAGGGGATTTACAGTGTCACCCTAGCCCTAAAATTTTAACTGACTTCTTTCCCTGCCTGCTTGCCTTTCTCTCATACTCTGCTGCAGGTGAGACTTGCCCTGATGGTGTGCGTGTGGGGTCGGGGTAGGGAGTGTGGTTGACTCCTTGGATTTCAGGCTACTCAGTTGCCCTGCAGTCTCAGCTCTGTGACAGAGTCCAGAAAAGTTGTGATTTTTATTTGACTCTTTATTATTATTAAAGCTCTTTCCAGACTTTTAAAATTTTTATTTGTATTATTAATGCCTGGGTTTTATTCTGTCAGCTTTTACATTGTAAATGGCAGCACACCTTCTGCATTAAGTTTAATGAATAAACCAGCATCAGAAATGTTAGTGAATTTATTTGTGATTTATACTGTGAAATAAGAACTCCAAACATTTGCATGCCATTAATAATTACCTGCCCTAGGCATTTTCTCTGTAGTTCTGTTTAATTCAGTTTAGTTCGACAGAAGTTGTGTACCTGGCCACCCTACCCACTTCCTTCATTGTAAAAGGTTTCTTTAGTCTTCAAAGGACTGGGATCTCTGGGGTCGTAGATCTTCAAAGTTCTTGAAATTAACTTTATCATAGCACTGATTTTTTCTTATATTGTTTTATTTGGGTGTGAGCATGGAGTTATTTTTTCCTTTCCTGCTTTTGCTGTTGGGGGAGATATGAGGCAGGGGGAAGGTTGTTACCTGAGTAGAGTCTCTTCCTCATTTAATCTCTCTGGTTTCGTTACCCAGGTGACTGCAGCTCAATTCTGTTCTCTTTGATTCAGATGGCCAGGTGTTTCTCCCTCATTTTCTGAAAAAAACCTTTCTAGTATGATTTCTTTTAGGCTATGAGAATTACAGTATTTAAGCTCTCCTGATAGGGCCTTGCATAATTACATGAACAGCAAAGTTCTTCTGGACATGTTTCTTATGAATAAAGATAGACATTTTTTGGAGGTCATGGAAAGTAGGTAGTGGGTCTATGAAATTAATTATTGTTTTGGAAGAAAGTGTTTTCCTTGGAGTCCTATTTGATCTATGTTATAATGATACATACTTTTTTTTTTTACTAAAGCAGTGTTCCATTTGTAACTTAAAAATATTTTCACTGAATCAACTCAAATATGTATTTTATAAAACATGGTCTGAAGTATAAATAAATTGTTGTATACCCAACTCAGGCTCTTTATGTATCAGACTTTTGTTGAGTTTTGCAAATATTTATTAATTGAAAAGTCATAGTTCAGCCTTTGGGAATTTCATGTTAATTGCAAACTAAATGGACAGGTTCAGCCACGATTAAAAATTTAGTGGTGAAATCTGCATTTATGTAAAGGAAATCTATAGGTTATGGCTAGGGCTCTTATTCATTTTGTTTATTATAGGTAGAGAGTTTATTACTAAAACATGCTCTCTGGACTCCTTCTTCCATTGGCCTCACTGTTCTTTTACTAAATATAAAATAAAAATGTGGTTTTTCCAGTTTGGAAGGTTTCAGGATTTTGTGGAGTACTTCTCAGGTAGCTGAGATGTGTCGCATGCATCCCCTTGGGCTCCTGCTTAGACTTGTCATCACCTGTGTCCTATTGAAAATGAGCATTGGCATTATCTGCTGTTCTGTGAAATTGTTCATTAGCTGTGAGGATATCATTGACAGTTGTGGTAATGAAGTTTTATTGAGTGCTAAAAGTGAGAGTGGAATTATACTTTTGAATGGTTTTTGAGGTTCTTTTTTTAAAAAATTATTTTGCTCTCACCCATTTCTTGCACATAAATTTTATAGTACCTCATGTTAATTTTCTGTTGCCGACATAACAAAGTACCACAAATCATTTGGCTTAAAACAAGTTTATTATCTTGCCTTTTTTTTTTTAAAAGTTTTTGAAGACTTTATTTATTTATTTTTAGAGAGGGAAGGGAGGGAGAGAGAAACATCAATGTGCGGTTGCTGGGGGTCATGGCCTGCGACCCAGGCATGTACCTTGACTGGGGATCTTGCAGTTTTGTAGGTCAGAAGTCTAATGTGGATTTCCTGGGCTAAAATCAAGGTGTCAGCAGAACTTCATTCCTTTCTGGAGGCTTTGGGGAAGAATCCGTGTCCTTGCCGTTCCCTGCTTCCAGAGCCCTCCTGCATTCCTGGCTCGTGTCCCCCATCCTCCGTCTTTAAAGCTGGGAACAGCAAACTGAGGTCCTTTTCATGCTTGAATTTCTCCTGTCTCTTCCCATCTTGGTCAGATGCAGGTGGGAAAGGGTCAGCTTTCTCTGTTCTCAAGGATTCAGTGTGATTAGGCTGGGCCTACCTGGATGTTTAGGATACTCTCCCTGTTTTGAGGTCTTTAACCTTCATGACATCTGCAAAGTCCTTTTTGCTGTGTAGATGTGGACATCTTTGGGGAGCCATTATTCTGCCTACCACAGAGTCCAAACATCGTTATTAAATATTTCACTAATTTAAAACGTTTATGGCTAAAAGATTATAGGTGTGATTTGAATTAATGCTGAGAAAATATATAACATTCTAGTCTTAGCTTCAAACACTTAGCTGCAATTTCCTGTTGAACATATGTTTTAGATATTTTGTAAGCACCTTGTTAGCTGTTGCTATATAACAAACCACCCCACAATTATTTGTCATCATGCACACATCTGTGGATCAGCTGATCTAAGCTAGATTTGTATGGGTGTCACTGATGACCTTGGCTGAGCAAACTACATCTGTGAGCAGGCAGGTCAGGTGCCAATTGTCTAATCTCGCCTGGGGCTCTGTGGGGGCAGCTCTGTTTCATATGTCTCACCTTCCCACTTTTGGGTTAGCTCAGGCATGTTCTTATGAAAATGGCAGAAATACAAAAATACAAGTGGAAATACATGAAGCCTCTTGTAACCTAAATGTAAAGCAGAAAGACTGTCACTTTTGCTTGATTCTGTTGGCCAAACTAGTCATATGGCCAAATCAGGGTAATGGGAAATATATATACTTTACCTCTTTAAATTGCAGGAACTTAGCAAAGGAACTTGAATGGAGAAAAGGTTGTAAAAAAGTAATATAAACAGAGCCATTTCATTTATTTTTTAATCTTCACTCAAGGATATGTTCACTTATTTTAGAAAGAGGGGGTTGGGGGAGAGAGAGAGAAAGGAAGTGGGGGGAAGAAAGAGAAAGAAACATCACTCCTTAGCCTCCTGCACATGCTCTGACCCTGGATGGGGCCCGCAGCCTTTTGGTGTACAGGAGGAAGCTCTAACTGAATCACCTGGCCAGGGAAAAACTGAGTCACTTTAAAATAGAGCTGGAGCTGCCATCCCAGAGGAACTTGCTTTGCAAGTCTGCTCCTCAGAGCTTTGGAATGTTAAAACTGGGTAAAATAACCTTTAGACTGTGCCCAAAGCAACATAGAATCCTAAACAACTGTTTGCAAAGATAACAAGAAAGCAGATAATATGGCTGTGACTATTTGGGTTTCTGCCTGCGTCAGTTTTTCCAGACAACCTATTTGTTTGGGCCTCAAGTAAATGCTGCCTCTTTCTCATGTTGGTTTTTTTATTTTAGGTTAACAGGGAAAAAAGAATTGGGGCCAATGATGCAACCCCACACTCAACTCTGTATTGCCCCAAACTACACTCATCTCAGTGACAACCTTCCTGTTTTGCTTTATTTCTGGTCTTAGTTAGTGATACTACTCTAAGGCCTAGTCACCCAAGCCAGAAACCTAAGAAGTATTCCAGAGTCATCTCTTACCCCCTTTCCTGTATTCAGTATTTATCTTGTAAATGGCTTTCTAATCTCTCATCTTCTGTAGCCTATTACCCTCACTGTTCTGGTTTAGGCTGTCATTATCTTCTTGAGAAGAAAGGGAGGAAGTAGTCTCTTACTTGTCTCCAATTTAGCTTCCTTTAAATCCTCCCTTTATATTGCAGCTGGAATACTTGAAATACAGGTGTCACTCCTGCTCAGTGGCTTCTCATTCATTGCCTCTAGAGGATGCCCCCTGTTACCAAAATTCACCAGCCTCATCTTCTGCTCTTTCCTGTCTTCTGCTTTACTCTTTAGTTCAAGAGTCAGCAGAATATGGCCAGTGGGTCAAAAATTTTGGTCCACAGTCTATTTTTTGTATGGTTCTTGAGTTAAGAATGGTTTCACATTTTTAAATGATTATAAAAACTAAATAAAAAGAATGATGTTTTGTGACACATGAAAGTTATGAAATTTAAACCAGTGGTTATAAATAAAGTTTTATTGTAACACAACTTTACTCATTAATTTTTATATATGGCTGCTTTCACATTACAATGGCAAAGTTGACTCCTTGAAACAAGAGACCGTAAAATACTTGCTGTCTGGTCCTTCATAGAAAAAGTTTGCCATCCTCTGCTCTAGTCAGGTAGAACTTGTAAGAGCTCCTTTGTGTACCATTCTATTTCATGCCTCAGTACTTTTATGTTGTTTCTTTGTCTGGCTAACTCTATTTTTTAAATAATGGCTTTATCGAGATGTAATTTACATATTTTACAGTGTACTCATTTAAAGTGTACAATTCAGTGGTTTGTAGTATAGTCACAGAGTTGTGCTATCATTGTCAAGTCAATTTTGGAACATTTTCATTACTTTCCAAACAGCCCCATGCTCATTAGCAGTCACTCCTCATTTCCCTAATCCCCTCCCCTCAGCCGTAGACAACCACTAAATCTGTTTTCATCTCTACAGATTTGCCCATTCTTGATTTTTCATATGAATGGAATCATACAATATGTGGTGTTTTATGACTGGCATCTTTCACTTAACATAATGTTTTTAAGGGTTATACATATTGTATCAGCTATCAGTATTTCATTCCTTTTCATTGCTGATTAGTATACCCTTGTATGAATATAACACATTTTATGTATCCATTGGTGAAGAGATGATGGACATCTGGTTATTTTTTACTTTTTGGCTCTAATGAGTAATGCTATTATAAACCTTTGTGTACAAGTTTTTATGTGGTATGCATTTTCATTTCTCTTGGGTACATACCTGGGCTAATTCTTTTTTATCCTTCAAGAGTTGACTTTGGGTCATGTCTTCTAGATCTGTTTCTTAGCCTCTTAGCTAGATTAAATGTTCATTCCCTACAGTTTAACACTGGTATGTTGAAATGATCTGTTTGCATGTGTATTCCTCTAAGTTTCTGGAGAGCAGCATCAATGCCTTATTTGACTTTGTATCAAAGAGTACAACAGTTCACTTAATATTTGTTGGACTAGAAAAACTGTAAAGCACTCTGTGCTTTATCTTATATTGTTTTTTCTGTCTTGGGTACATGGTTTTTTTGTGTGTTTTTTTTTTAGTTTCTTGGAATACGTATTGAGATAACTGATCTTGAATTTATCTTTTTTCAAGGTCTGAAAAGAAAACAAAGAAAGGTACCAAAGGAAAAGCATCAGATGAAAAAAAAGATGAGATAGAAAAAATAAAGTCATACCCCTTTATGGAAGGTGAACCTGAGGATGACGTCTACTTAAAACGCTTATATCCAAGGCAGATATACGAAGTGGAGAAAGCGATTCATTTACTTAAAAAATTTCAAATTCTGGACTTTACGAATCCAGCACAAGGAGTTTATCTTGACTTGACACTGGATATGGCACTGGGGAAGAAGGTATATCGACTCAATTAAAATGAATTTATTCGTGAACAGTGGCTGTATAAATTGCCATTCCTTAATTTTTTTTTAAATCTGCCTTTACTATAATTTTTAGAAAAACTTTTGCACTTTCTGTACTTTAGCATGAAAAATACATTTGTTTTTTAACTTTACAAATATAAAATTGAATGTTAAGCGTACTCTGCATAGTTGATGACGTACATCTTCTATTTAGCCGAAAATCATTGGTATAGATTTCAACAATAGTAGTATTAAAATTAATTGAGGTATTACTGTAACTTTGAAAAATAACTTAAGCTGGATGTCATGTTCCTGCTCTGTAAGTGAGGGTTTTGGATGAGCTCATTGGCCTTCAGAGATTTCCTTAGAGTTTGCATAGGTGGGGTGCTAAACCCTCTCATTGCCTCAGTCAGAACCTCTGGTTTGTTTATACATTGCAGTTCCATGGAAGACTTTTGTTTATAAAACTCTAAAAATAGGAAAAACACTAGATTAGAATTGATGTCCATTATAGCTCCAAATTTTGTAAGTTTCTCGTTTATAATTTCTTAAATTACATTTAAGAAATGTAATTTTCTTGGAAATGATGTTTAAATTTTTATTCTCAGCATATCTTTTTTGGTCAAGCTCAAAGGTGTAAGTTTTTGAATACAATTCAACAGCCTCAACAATAACAACAGTCACTGAGCTTGTGGGAGGAGGCAGCATCCAAGTGCTTAAGAGCATGGGCTCTGGAGCCAGACTCCAGCACAGGCCAGCCTCCGGAGGTCACCACGTATTTCCTCCTTGAGCTTGGGCTTCTGGTTTAACCTCTTCAAATCTCAGTCTTTTCATCTCTTTAAAAAAGGAGATAAAATGCTTAGTTCAAATGGTTATAGCAAAGATTGAATGAGATAATGCATATAAAGGACTTGGTAGGTATTTAATAGTAACAATCAACATTTACTGGAACTTGTCATGTACCAGCCACAATACTAAATGCTTTGCATGCATTTTCTCATTTCCCCACATAGTAGTCTCAGAAGAAGCAGCTGAGACGCAAAAAGTGAAGAATTTGCTCAAGGTCACAGAGTAGAGGGTAGAGTTAGGATTTGAACCAATCTATCTTGTTTCTTAGTTTTTATCAGAAACAGTTTGTACTAGCTTTGTTATAATTTTATTTTATACCACAGTATTACTGTTAGTTTACTTATTTCAGAAATATTGTGGTGTTCAAAATGATCACTTTCTCAGTCAACTGTTAATGTGTTTCATAAAGATGTCTTGTAGGACTACAAGTTTCATTTCATAAGTGGAAGCCACTTATAAACTAGACACATTGAAAGGGTACTGTTGTCTTCCTGAGACATTTTTTGTTCTTGATAGACTGCTTGTACAACAAGCCAGTATTCCCCAGGGGGTGCTATTATTATGATTGCTTGCCATTAAAAATGTACTGAAACCAGTTGTGACATGTTAATGGCAAAGGAATGCCAGTGAATAAAATTTGAGTTGCATGTCTGATAGTATGCGTACTTAAGAGTTGGTGCCTCTTGTCTGAAAAGAAATCCTTAGGAGGTTTTTTCTACTCAAGATAAACTAAAAATGCAATTTTTCAGTTGTAATTGGGAAAGAACCCCTTTTCTCTTTTTTTCCAGACCTTAAGATTGCACCAAAACTATGGACTGAGAGCTTGTTTCCCTGAGAAATGGGAGGCACAGGCCTAGACAGGTCCTTTACTCAGCGACTGAACAAATTAGTTGTGAGGCCCTAGAATCTCCACCCATGTTGGGGTGCCTCAAGTGCATGCCACTGTTTACTTTAGATTTTCCAATTCTCTTCCTATGTATATCTGAACGTGTAGGTAGGTTAGGTTGTTTCAAACTAGACCCACTTGGAAGAGCCTTTTAGGATAGGCCTTCTGCCTTAAGTTTAGGGTTACTATCACTGCGTTGTTTAGAACCAATGCTGGAGATTAGGGGAGACCCACTGAGCTCTCAGCTGGATATTGTCTGTTTTTCAGCATATTACAGTTAAATTCATGTTGTCCTTGATGATGTCAAAAGATTGCATTTTCTTTTTTTTTTATTTTTTTTATTTTAGAGAGAGGAGCATTGAATTGTCCCACTTATCTATGCATTCATTGGCTGATTCCTGTATGTGTCCTGACTAGGGATCAAATCTGCAATCTTGGCGTATTGGGACAACGCTCCAACCAACTGAGCTACCTGGCCAAGGCTAAATGTTCTTTTAAATTTAATTCAGTGTGGCAAACATTGGATTTATTGCCTTCCATGTGGAAAGCATTGTACTAGGTGCTGGGGAAGATATGGATACGCGAATACATCTCGTAATATATGAGAGACTGTGATGAATAATGTAGAAACAGAAGCCAAGTACCATGGAGTATGGTGCTGGGAAGAGAGATACAGATTTTTGTCATGGTTTCTTACAAAGGAAATATAATCTCTTTCGTCTTAAATTGTAATCAATGAATAGTTCTGGATTAATGAGAGGATATGTAGTAGAATTAAAACATTAAAAACAAAATATGTCACTTCTTTTTATAGATATGAGAGATACAGAAAAGATGAATAAATTTTTCATAATCACTTTTCCATTGTTGTGTATTTAGAAAAAGGTGGAGCCATTTGCCAGTGTTCTTAGGTTGCCGTACCCATTCGTTTCAGAAATCAACAAAGTTGCTGTATTTACAGGGGTGAGTAACCTTTATCAGTGTTTTATGTCATTTAATTTAGTACAGCACATTAATCAATGATTAGAATAACTGAATGAGCAGAGTTGCAGAGAGTTCTAGCATTCACCTAGTCTCATTTTCCCCCTTCGAAGCTCAGAGCAGTAAGACGGCTCATTTGAGGTTATGCTGTTAGTGTGAGAAAAAGCTAAACCAGAAGATTGCCTTCATTGTTATTAGTCCACCATATTATATCTTTCACAAGATACGGAAGAAAAGTATAGAATTTATCCTACTAGCTCCTGCTTCCTACTCAAACTCCTCAAACAACAATAAAATTATTTTAAAGCAATGGGCCCACATAGTGCTATGAAGACATGGAAACCACACTTTTAAAAATATCTAGCCTGGAAAGTGAGGAAAGTCAAGGCTGTAACAAATATAGTAATAATAGCCTTTTGTCAATCTTTTTATATTATAAACATCTGTTTATAATGTGTTTATGAACTTGCTTTGTAAAGTGTTTTGATTCTTCTTCATCTGTCTCACTTTCAAGAAAGAAATTCTTTTCTTCCAGAAGAGTGGAGCATATGGCTGTTAGAATGCCACAAAACTTTAGTAACTAAGGCAATGATACATTTTCACAGTAAGAACAAATGATATAAATGGAACATAGAGAAAAAAATAACTAATATTGTATATCTTTTTTTGAATTTTCAGACAATAGGCTAAATTTTGGTTCTATCACTTATTAAATTAAAAAAAAACTTTTCCATTTTGGTTTTATAAAATGTCTCCATTTAAGTTAGCAAAACTAAGTGTTTTTAATCTTTTACTTTTGGAAGATGATGTATTTATGGCATTGGAGACTTAGGTTGAACCACTAGGTAGGTTCCTAATGCCTTATTTTTTTGTACTTGCTCATGTTACAAGAAATACCTCAGTCACCAACAAACTAATATTTCTGATGCATCTCATTGAAAATTGACACATTTCAACTCACAGTAAAAGCCACAATTTTTATTTTTAACTGTGATATTATTTCTGACAAAATACTTGAAAGTAGAATGAATTTGTTTAAAGATTGTTGTTTAAACTATTGTATTTCGGTAGAATGCATCGGAGATTAAAATAGCAGAAGAAAATGGAGCCGCTTTTGCAGGAGGAACTAATCTCATTCAGAAGGTATAGTGTTATTCTCACATTCTTTGATTAGAGAAATTACTCTGTTATCTTTGCTATCCATTTATTTATTCAATGTGGAACATAGCCACTATATTCATGTATCTTGATAAATGGTTAGTAGAACTTTATAGAACAGGGAAATATTTTCTGTTCTTTTGAGTTTCAAAATCAAGCTAAGAAAAAACTGTCCAGACATTCTGATATGAATTATGCTTGATTTATATAGTGATTGTTATTTTTCTTGCTTCCTGTGTGTTTTGTGAGAGTTTCGAGGGTAGACTGGAAAGGGCAGTATGACTCTTCATGGTTTTCAATGTGAGTTTTAAATGAAATCTGACAGGTAGCACACATAGATATCTACATTCATGTTTTGAAAATCAAATATTTGTTTTGCCTTTTTTCGGGGTGAAAAGTGTGATTAGTTTTACTAGATCACAGAGGATAGTATCTGACCTCTATAATGTGGTACTCCGGGTTACTTTCAAGTTTTCACACCCCACCCCTCAGCCCCTTCCTTTCAGTTCAGAGTGACATAGGCTCAGCATGGAGGCAATAAATGATTATGTAGCCTGCATTGAGAAAATAACAAAAAATTTGTAGAGCCTGTTCAAAACACGACTTTTTTCTTTAAAAATAAACAGGAAGAATAGGCATGTCTGTTGAATGTTGGGAGTTATTTCTGCAAGTACAAATGATTTTTCTTAACATTCTCTAAAATCTTTTCCAAATTTAATCATATAGGTTTTGGAATGCTTTTCTTTTTGTTTTCAGAACAGGAAACAGTGATTTGAAAATGTGTCTTTTGCCCCACATTCAGATTTTGATTAGGGGAAGTTTAAACTGGAACCCTCCATTGTGATGTATAACAGTGCTTATAGTTTGTTTTTTATTGTTTCTTTTTTTAAAAAGATTTTATTTATTTATTTTTAGATGGAGGGGAAGAAAAGGAGAAAGAGAGGGAGAGAAACATCAATGTGTGGTTGCATCTCGAGGTGCCCCCTACTGGGAACCTGGCCTGCAACCCAGGCATGTGCCCTAACTGGGAATTGAACCAGCAACCCTTTGGTTCACAGACTGGTGCTCAATCCAGTGAGCCACAGCAGCCAGGGCTGCAGTTTGTTTTTTTCTATCCCAGTAAAACTATAAATTTGGTGTGGGTTCTGGATTTTTAAGGAAAGTCTCCACATTGATTTTTCAGAACAGAACTAATGGGAAATATGAAGAGATTATGCTTTCATACAGATTTCAGGTCAAGGAGAGCGGTATTCAGTTCTTACTGATGTATCATGAATTTTAATTTAATAAAATTATTAAAAATAATACTACAGATTCTTCAGAGATTGAGAGTAGAGGTTGGTCTCCGGAGTCAAGAGAACTATTCTTATTAAGCTTGTGTACTGCCTTCCGTCTGTTTTCTTCCTGCAAGCATAAGAGTGTCTTACAGAACTGTCATAGCAACAATGGAGTTTAAATAGTTACCTCCACTCTTTAAATGTTAAGAAGTTAACTTCTAAAGCATTATGCTAAGTGAAATAAGCCAGGAAGTGAAAGACAAATACCATATGATCTCACCTTTAGTAGGAATCTAATCAACAAAACAAACAAACAAGCAAAATATAACCAAAGACACTGAAATTGAGAACAGGCTGATAGTGACCAGAGGGGAGAGAGGAGGGAATTTCAGGAGAAAAGGGGAAGGGTTTGCAGGAACAATTAGAAAGGACATGTGGACAATAACGAGGGAGGTGTAGAAATGGAGGGGAGGTGGGGAGGGCTGGGGAGGTGGGCTGGAATGGGGATAAAAGGCAGAAAACTACTTGAACAATAATTAAAATTTAAAAAGTTAACTTCTCAAGAAAGTAATGGTAAGAGAGCAGGAAGTGTTCTGTTGCATTAAGTTAATTAAAACATATTTGAAAAAGTAACCCAAATAAGGAAACCCAGTATATTTTGAAATTTTTTGATAAATACAATATTATAGAGACAAAATATCTCTTTCAGTGCCCCAATGGATGATCTATTATTAGAGGGGAAAAGGTCATCTATATAAGGCATCATAACCAGTACAGTTTTGCATGTTACTCTCTGGTATCTTTTAAAGTGCATCCGTGGTATTTTTAGAAGGTATTCAGGTATAGAAGTAAATTCCGTACAGTTTTATAAGTAGTATCTTGTCTGCAATTTTTGTTTACACATTCTTGTATTTTTTAACTAATTTAAATACTATTATTCTTAGCGCTTCTAATAGGTGAATGTAGAATAAACTTACTGAACTTTTACTTATTTCTTAGGTAAGACCTTAATTTTTTACAAAATTTACTTTGTTTTAAATTATCACAAGTATGCTTGGTTCTGAGGAAATTTAAAAATAATTTTGTTTTTACTTGTCTCTAAATAACTTCACTCTATTTAATTTCCTACTCCATGATGTAATGTTAAGATCAACTATAGCATAACTTTCAAACGTAATTTTAAATTTAAATTAATTCAAAGAAACATGTTTTAGAATTAGTATCAGAAAGTCTTAGAATGGAAATTTCACATACCGTTCTTCAGCATTTCAAAATTGCATCTAGCTTAATAGTTCCAGTGATGAGAGCCCTGGTTCTAGATCCATACTGCCTGTGTTTAAGTTCTGTGTCTGTCCTGTAGAAGTGCACAGGTTGACTCATCCTCCTTCAGCCTTCAGTTTCCTTATCTGGAATGTGTGGTCAGTAATAGTACTTGCCTTGCAGGGTTATTGTAAAGACTGGATGAATTAAATTATGTTAAATATTTAGCCGAATGCTTGGCATATGATAAGTGCTTATTTAATGTAAGTTATTATTAAGAGGAGCACAGTGTGTTATGTAGAGAATAAAGAATTTATAAAAGGAAAGAACAGTAACAGGATAAAATTTTAGAGTCACAGCTTAGTTTTGCCAGAGTTCAAGTCTTTAACGTTCACTATGATCCCAAACCATGGCTTTGAATAGTGTACGATGGTAGGATTTCAAGCAAAAAGAATCACTGATAAATTACAGGTTATGGCGCAAATAATGCCCCTTTTAATTACATAAAAGTCTTTTATTACAAAATCATAAGCATGTAATTCTATAACATAACAATATCATACTCAAGCACACCATATGACATTTTAGGTGAAGTGTTAAAATTGCAGTCCATCTCCTGTGAGACGTTCATGTACCTTACCAGTCACACTCCGTGGCATTACTTCTGCTGGCCCCTGTATTTATTGCCTACGCAGTGTTGCTCTAAAAAGTTGCTTCATTTCATAATCAACTAAATTTTTAAATCGAGTATATTGTAGTATAATAATTATTGTGGGTGCCTGCCTAAATTAAATTAAAATGCCTTTCAAAATTGATATTATTTGTTCTTAGAATGGAATTAGGGTATGGAAAATAAACTGTAAATGAGCTTGTCTTTGACAGTCCCACTCTTTTATTTTTAGTCATTGGAGGCAAAGAGAATTTTAATTTCAATTCTTTGTGAAAATAAGTACAGATTCAGTTCTGATGCTCTAACGTTAGGAAGGGAGTGTAGTTGCTGGTGATTTGGCAGCTAGTGGTTATTAGTGTTACCTGTGATCTACTGCAAAATTTTTGGCGTGTTTCTTTGATTTTAATAGACATATGAATTCAGCTTTGGGATATTATGAGCCAATACACATCAGTGCTGTGTGCTAGCTTCTTAACGTGTTTACCTAACATAACCTTGTGAAGGAGTTAAACTTATTAAATATATATATTTTAAATGGATGTGGCTGTTTTTAAAAGAAAGGTCAGAAAATGTTTTGCTTCTAATGGTTTTCATAATTGGTAAATGTATTTATATCCTTATGTTTGAAGAAAAATATTGTGCTTAATGTCTGTTTTCTAAATTATAAGGGAAATTATTGCATTATACTTTATTGTCAGAAGAATAAAGTTTTTCTTAAAGTCTAAGGTTATCTTTTTTTTCCTGATTTTTAGATTTTGGATGATGAAATTCATTCAGACTTTTATGTAGCTGTTCCAGAAATAATGCCTGAGCTTAATTCCTTAAGGAAGAAACTGAAGAAAAGATTTCCAAAGCTTACTCGAAGTAAGGGAGAGTTCTTTTTATTATTTTTATTACTTCAGTATGCTATCAGCAGCTTTCTAATACATGTTTGGTTAGGAAACAAAATTGTTAATATAATATGTAGAATAAAGAATATGTCCTGGTATTTGAGTTTTGTGTTATAAAAAACATGCAGATTTGATTTTTTTCCTTTGGCATTGATATTGGTAATCTGTTATAATTTGAAAACCTAATTACTATGTAGTACTTTAAACTTAAGTCACGTCCTAGCTTGAAATTAATTGAATGTATCATCTACTAGGTATGTTACCATCATACTAATTTTTACCTCTTTATCAATATAATATGTATGCTAATTTATATCAGCATTTACCATGTGTGTCAATGCTTACAGTGTGCATGGCTCTGCCAATTTTTTTCTTTTACGGATATTTCTCCCTTAAAAAATCTAGCAAGAGAAGTAAGGTTGCTACATAAATAGCCATGTTAGAAATTATGAAGTATTAAATGATAAATTCATGATGTACTGCAGGTGTTCAGTAGAAGAGGAATTTACACATAGGTGGGGAAATTAGAGGAGGCATCATTTAGGGGGTGACATTTAAACTGACCTTGATAATTGGATGAGTAGATTAAGGGGAATAATATTTTAGATAGAAAGAATCTGTTAATCATAGACACTGGAGCAAGTCAGAAATTATAGTCCATGTACAAGAAATATCAATTAGTTCTCTTTGGTTATATTGAAAGGTACCTCTACATCAATAAGAAAGAGAATAGTGGGAAATTGTGTTGGAAACGTAGGTTGGTGTCGTTTTCAGAAGGAACTGGAATAAGATCCTAAAAAGCTTGGACTTCTTTTCCATATTCAGCAGGAGTCCCCTAGAAGTTTTTAAGGTGGGGAATTTGTTAGAGGTTTAATCTAGCACAAGTTCATAAGCTGTATTGTCATCAGTCAAAACTAGAAGCTGGGAGACCAGTTTGGGTGCAATTACCAGAGACTGATACGGGTATTGTTTAAAGTAAAGCCTTCATAATGAGACTGAAATGAGGAGAGCAGATGTCAACGATGTTAGGACTTTGCACCAAGTTAGGAATGGACACTTTGAGAGACAGAAGGGAAGAGTCAAATGAGGCTGAGATTTTTTTAGGTGGTACTGGATATCTGCTATAAATAGGTGTTATTTCTAATAAAAATTTTATAGTGTAAACAGAATAAATATTTTGAAATTGTTTTAGTAGATTGGGCTTCACATTCCAAATCTACTTGAGCTGAAAAATCCTGCTAAAATTTTTCATATGTGGTAGCCTCTAATACCAGCCTGAATTATAGATTATGTTCTGTACTTAAGCAATTTCTTATGTACTCTCCAATTCTTTTGTTGTACCAGAGTTTTATTTGTTTATTTTTGATAGCCTGCATTGAATAACCCATCTTTATTAAATACTGGGCTGAGGTTTGGCACTTTTCTTTAGGGATTTCCATTAAATAGTGTTTGTTGTCATGGAATCAGACTTAATATTCTTTTCCAAGACAGACCTGAAATCTAACATTATTTTAGAAATTAAACATGAATTACAGTTCAATTTGATGAAAATATGTTTCCTAATTTTTTTCTAATTAAATTCAAGCCTAACAAAACCAAACAGTACTAAATATATTCAGTTAAAACTGAAACTATATGTCTGCTGAATGTATCTATTCAGCTAGCTCCTTGCTTTTCCCAGTGAACTGGTTTCTCACGAAGTTAGTCTTCTCTACTTCTTTATCCATTCTCTGAATAACCCTTTAGGCCTTTATGTTTTTAGCCTTGAGGGTTTTTTTTGAAAGGATCATTTTCATCACAAAATTTGGCACTGTTGTTTTTAGTCTGAAAGGTTTTCAAATAACTTCATATCAGATAGGCAAAATTTCCCTTCAAAATACTTATTTTTATTAACAGGCTTTATTTTTACTTTCATAATGAATCATGGTTTTTGTTCACCAGGGTCAGGTTACCTGTGGATGTCCCCCCACCCACTCCTTTGCTTAACAAAGCATCTTGAAAAAACTGACAGACCTTTCTTTTTCTCTAACTTTTTCTTTTCACCCCCACATTTTCTGTTTAACAGCACTGGCAAAACATTCGTGTTCTTTAAACATGAAGACAAATGATTAACCTGTCAAAAATGTTAAAACAGAATACACCAGATGTGCATTAGAACAAATGAAGCTTGCATTATGCATTTTCAGAGCTTGTTCAGATTCTTATTTAGGAACATTTGATTCCCCTTACATCCAACAAAAGTCTTTAGGGTAAAATAGAAATTACATTTTGAGCAAATGGATGAAATTAAAAAACAAACAAGCCCCTACAGCTAAGCTCATTAGTTTCCCATTTTGTCCTACATTTTGCTTTACTAATGGGAGTGGGTGTAACCATCTTGGCTGGATTGAATGTTCATATTTTGCATCATGTTTAGTGTAGCTTTATTTGTTTTATTTTTTTATTTTAATTGCTTATGTAACTGCAGGCAAGTTGTCTATTTTTCAGATGCACTTTTGGTTTGTTTTCTAAGTATTTCTTTTTTATTTCAGAAAAAAAAAGATTTAAAACTTGATGTTTAAAATTTCTTGGAATAAAAAGGGTTTTATTTTGCTTGTAAACTAGCTTCCTTCCCCTTGGCTCCCACAATATAAGTGCCCTCTGAAATTTTTTTATATGTAATTTAGATATGTTTTGTTGATATTTTTGATATTTTTATTCCTAATTTTATATATTATTTAGAATTTACTTAAGCAAAAAATACTGGTATGAAAAATATCTTGACTTAATGGAATCAGTTTTCTATTACACATATTAAACCATGGTAGGTACTGCAGCATATATGGAAACAGTTAGATTCTTTTAAACCATACTGAGTTTTAGGCAAATATTTGGGAAAGGAACATGATTAAAATTTGGACACACTGCCCTAGTGGGATGGCTCAGTTGGTTGGAGTGTCGTCCCCTACATCAAAAGGTTTCGGGTCCAATTTCTAGTCAGGGCACATACCTGGGTGGTAGGTTGGATCCCCAGTTGGAGCACGATGGGAGGCAACCAGTCAGTATTTCTTTCTCACTTCAGTGTTTCTCTCTTTATCTCCCCCCTTCCCCTTTCTCTAAAATCAATAAATATATCCTTGGGTAAGGATTTAAAAAAAGTGGACTGGCAAATGTGTATTTCTCTTAATATATAGCTCTTAGAAATTGAATGTCAGTGCTCCAGTTGGAGTCTTGTCAAAAGGATACTCCAGCAGACTTGTCCAAAGAGTATTCCCATCTGCTGAGCAGGGGACTGCTTTTTGTAAGGAGGTTGGTGTTTTGTCACATTCGATAGTAACAGATGTAAAATTATTGAAATCTAACGTGAAAAATACTTTTAGCTCATAAACTGACATGGAATGGCTTGCACTAGTGAAACAGTCTGAACTCTTTGGTTATATGAAGAAAAATACCGAAAAAGGAATTTTTATAGAGTAGTAAATTTGAAATTTTTCTAAATTGTTCCTCGTGTATTAGTTTAAAAAACATTTATGTGTGAAAGATTCCAATGACTAGTTACTGTTACAATTACTATAGACGAATTATTGATGTATGACAGCTGGTTCTGTTACTCTTTTTTAAAAATTTATTTTACTACAGCCCCCTTGCCCTTCCTCATACACACTAAATGTTCTCCTTTTCAGGTCTTTGGACTTACTGTTCATTTGTGTGTAATGCTGTTTGCTTATTTTCCTGGCTTACTTTCTCATTCTAAACAAAAAGGCTTTCCATGACCATCTTATATAAAATATTAACTGTCACTTCCTATTAACACTGGATTTCTAATTTTTTGTTTTTATATTCTTTTTAGGATTTAATGCTTGTGGCTTCTTAGATTTTTTTTTATTTGTGGGAGTATATTCCTCCCATTAGAGTAAGGGCATTTTTTGGTTTTGTCCACTGCTATATTGCTATGGCCTAGAGTAGTAACCTGGCACATAGTTGGTGCACAAGAAATATTAGTACAGTGCTTGAACATTTAGTGCAGCATTCAGTTATTAGAAAATACAGATTAAATACTGCACCTGAAGAGTAGAAAATCTACAATTTGTAGGAGTTTTTTTGGATTAAAATAATTGTACTTATAGTTATTGAGTATCTGCAGTGGGCCAAGCCTGGAGTGTGATGGACATGACGAAGACAGACAAGGTCCTTGCTGTCTTAGAGCTGAGAGTCCCGTTTCCCCCGGTACATAAGCTAGCTTAACTGAGCATTTAACCATGCTCAGATTTCTCTAGTTAGACAAACAGACTGAAAACAAAACACATTCCCCTAAAACTTTTATTTCATTCAGCTATCCTTTCTAGCTACATTCTTAGTCTTTTTTGATGTTTCACACAAGTTTTTCCAAATAAATTCTTTTTAGTGGTTGGCTGTCTCCATTTCCTTACCAAGCATAATTCTTTATCTTTCTCCCTTGCATACAGCTAAAATGTGGCTCTCGGTAGTAATCACGGGTCTTTCTTTTGCCACATTTAAAGATCTGGTCTTATTTTTTTTTTCTCTGTCCTATGTAATCTTAACTTACCTCCTTTCTCACTAACTATTCCTTCTTTGTCTTCTCTAGCTTGTATTCTACCTGCTTCTTCCTGTAATATTCCTTGGTAAAGAAGAAAAGAGAAAGTGCATCAGGGTGAAATACCTGACAATATAGTTTATCGTTTAAGCCTCTATTATGTTCATTACGGAAATCAAGTGGCAGTAATTAGATGAAGAGGAAGGGAAGGAATTAAGAACAAGGAAAAGAGTAGAAGAACATAAAAGTCCAGAGAAAAGAGGAGGAGAAAGTAATTACTTAGCAAAAAGGGATAGCAAAGCCCTAGAAATAACAGTGAAGATTTAACATTGGGTTATACTGCAAAACAGAATAGAACAGTGGTTGAACACAGACCTCTCTCAGACTTGACTTGGTCACTTACTGTGACCTTGAACAAATTTTTTAAAACATTTTTTGTGCCTCTTGTTTATTCATCTATGAAATGGGTTTCATGTTCTCATGGTGTTTTGTTATATGCAAGAGCTTAGCACAGGCTGGGTATATAGCAAGTTTATAATACGTATGTGCCCCTTGTTATTATTGACTATCTACAAGTCCTAAATAGCTCTTCACGCTCCATAATTACTTTAGGAGAACTCATTCTTTTTCATGTCTTCAAATATCATTTTTACCTTCATAACTCATTATTGAGTGAGCAGATAATTATTGAGTGCCTGTTATGTGCCAGGCAGGACATTTAGTACTGCACATTGAAAGATGAAAAGAGAGTTCCCATCTTTAAGGAGATAAAAATTGAACAGAGAGAGAAATGAGAATGTAAGTGCTACACTAAAATGCAGAAAGTGTACCAGAGGGAAAGGTACAAAGTGCTTAGAGGAATGAGGGACTACTTTGTAGAATCAGATTATATAAAGAAGGTACCAGCTATGTTGAGCACTTAAGCATGAATAGGCATTTTCTTACCTGCCATGCATGGGGAGAACATTACAGGTAGAGGAAATGGCTTGTACTAATGTACAAAAGTATGAGTGTGCCAGTTATGTTCAGTAAATTATAAGTAGCTTTCTATCTTTTGGTACATAAAGTATTATCAGATAGTGGTGTTCAGTGAGGTCAGACAGTGATAGGCAGTGGGCCACGTCAGAGAGGACTTTGTGTGCCATGCCGTGGGGATTAGATTTTATCCTCTATGTAGGTAGGAGCCATTGAAAAATATTGCTTAGAAGACGATACAAGATTTGCTTATTAGAATGACTATATGTGGGAGCTGTATAAGTGATGGAGTGGTGATGTGAGGATGATGAAGCAGTGAGGACAGAGACCAGTGAGGAGGCCACTGCCTCAGCCTAGGTGAAAGATGAATAAGGACAGAATTTGCACAGTGGCCGTGACGACAGAGAAGAGGAAGACTGTTATGGGATATGGAGGAGATGGAATTAACAAGAGTTACTGATCAGATGTGGAGGGAAGGGAAAGGGAGGAATCTAGAATGATTCCCTGATTTCTGTCTTGAGTGGCCCAGTGAATACTATTTTAAGGGTAGATATACAGGAGATGAGGCAAGTTGGGGGATGATAATACCACAAGGTGAAGTAGGGAGAATGGAGATATGCTGGCACAGACATACTGTTTTCCTGGAAGTAAGTCAGTGTTAAGATGAAGTAGGTTATAATAAATAAATGTATACATTGTAATTCTATAGCAAGTAAAAAATACACAAAAAGAGATATCTTCAAACTAAAAGGAATAAAAAAGATATACTAAAAACTTTTTGTTTAAAACAAAAAGAAGGCAGTAAAGGAGGAACAGAGGAACAGATGAGACAAATAGAAAACACAATAAAATAAAGACCTAAATCCAGTCATATCAACAGTTAGGTTAATTGGAAATGGAATAAACAATTCAACCAAAAGGCAGAGATTATAAGATGACTAGTAAGCAATCCAATTATATGTTGCCTAGAGGAGACACACTGTATATTCAAACACAAATAGGCTGAAAGCAAAATATACTGTAATAAAAGGTATGTGAATGTGGTCTCTCTCTCTCTCTCTCTCTCTCTCTCTCTCTCTCTCTCTCTCTCTGATAATGGAGTCAGCTACAAAGTGTCTAAGTCACGGGCAGAGAGCAGATACAACATAGATACAGCATGGATATGCTGGACGAAAGGGAGATCTGCGTCCCCAGTGGGACATAGTGGATGAACTTGCTACTCAGCACAGGGCACAATTTAAAATTTATGAAGTTTTTCTAAAATTTTTCACTTAATGTTTTTGGACACAGTTAACCATGGGTAACTGAAACCATGGAAAGCTAAATGGTGGAAATGGGGCACTACTGTATTAGCATCTTACTGTTTATTATTAATCTGTTATACCATTTAGTATTCAGTTGCATCAGAGTGTGGTACTAAAATAACTTTGTATGTTTCACTAGTTGTTGCCTCTGCACGTCTCTTTTCTCCTAATTAAATTTAAAGCTCCTTGTGGGTAAAGTGTTCCTGAGCCATACTGAACAACTCAGATGATCCTTAAAAGTAATATATGCTGAGGGTATAATGTGCTTTCTATATAATGAGATTTAAAAAAATATATTGAATTTATTGGAGTGACATCGGTTAATAAAATTATATAGGTTTCAGGTGTACAGTTCTATAATATATTGGATTGTGTATTTACCACCCAAAGTATAGTGTTCTTCTATTACCATTTATCTTTAAACTCTTCTACTTCCCCTACCTCCCCTTTTCCTCTGGTGATCCCCATGCAGTTGTCTGTGCCTGTGAGTTTTGTTTTGTTTTGTTTTTGCTTAATTCCTTTACCGTTTTCACCCAGCGTCCCAACTCTTCTCCCCTTTAACCGCTGTTAGTCTGTTTTCTATGTCTGTGAGTCTGTTTCTATTTTTTTTTTTTCATTAGATTCCACACATAAGTGAAATCATACAGTATTTGTCTTTCTCTGACTGGCTTATTTCACTTAACATAACACTCTTCAGGTACATCCATGCTGTCACAAATGATAAGATTTCCTTCTTTTGATGACCAAGTAGTATTCCATTTTGTAAGTGTACTGCAGCTTTTTTATCCACTCACCTACTGATGGGCACTTGGGCTACTTCCAAATCTTGGCTATTGTAAATAACATTACAGTGAACATAGGGGTGCATATATTCTTTCGAATCAGTGTTTCAGGTTTCTTTGAACATAATTCCCAAAAGTAGAATTGCTGGGTCACAAAGTAGTTCCATATTTAATTTTTTGAGGAAACTTCATACTGTTTTCCACAGTGGCTGCACCAATCTATATTCCCATGAATAGTGCACTAGGGTTCTCTTTTCTCCACATCCTCTCCCATACTTGTTGTTTGTTGATTTTTTGATGATGACCATTCTAACAGGTATGCGAGGCGATATCTCATTGTGGTACTCATTTGCATTTCTCTGATGATTAGTGATGCTGAACATCTTTTTATATGTCTATTGGCCATCTGTATGTCCTCTTTGGCCAATGTCCTTGGCCCATTTTTTTAATTGGGTTTTTTTTGGTGTTCAGTTATATAAGTTCTTTATAAATTTTGGATATTGACTTATCATGGGAAGAATTGCTGGAGACACAGTGGGAGAGGTGTGTCTTTAGTAGCATGTTTCTTACCTTCAAATATGTGAATACATTTTCTATGCACAAAATTGAAAATTGTTCAAGTTAATGTATGGCATTGTGGAATATTAAAAATATGTATTTTTATCTATTAAATTTGAGTTAAAATTTTACTGATTAAACATTAGTAAGATTAGCTTATGTTTGGAGTCTCCTGTGTGATCCTCTGAAAATTCTGAGTTTTTACTTTGACTCTAATTTTCTCCTTTCTATATTTAATTGCATTCTTTTTTTACTTTAATGGAGGACAAGTTGACATTAGAATCCAATAAATTAAATTTTAATTCTTAACTCTTTCATGCCAGCTCTATACAGTAATGAGCTGTATCATTCCTGTGATATTATTTCCACTGCTAAATGTTGCTACTTTTCCTAGTTCCTCAGCTTTTTAATGGTAAGGCAGGTCATGTGAATTTTACACAAAGATAGGTAAAATGTTCTTAAAAGATTTTAGGACTCCACTGTTACCTTTTATAATGGATTATTTTACACATTTTAATTTTTTATCAGTGTTTCTAAAGTAGATAAATGGTATCATTGCATATATTTATTTGTTACCTATTACTGTACAAACAATATTACCACAAATTTAGTGGCTTAAAACAACACAGGTCACATGAAGCTCCAATCAAGGTGTAGTGTAGAGCTGTGGTCTCATCTGAAATTTGACTGGGGAAGGATTCAGAGTCATGTGGCTTTTTGGCAGATTTCAGTTCCTTGCAGGTTGCTGGCCTGGGGGCCTCGGTTTCTTACCCTGTGGCCTTCATATGCATCTCATAACATTGCATCTTGCTTCTTCACAGCCAGTATGAAGAGGATGTCTTCCAAAATAGGCATTGTAGTTTTATGTAATGTGATCATGTACACATAATCATTCTGTTGGTTAGGTTGCGGATCCCATCCACACTGAAGGGGAGGGGATTATACCAAGGCATGAACACTGGGAAAGGAAGCTACCCTAAAGTATCTCTGCCACAGCTTATTTACTTTGTCTTAGCATGAGATTAGTGTTTTTCTTATTCAGTAATTTTTGCTACTTGTTTAGGTGGAGTGATAACTTTGGATTTTTTGTTTTTCTAACCAGATTCCATTGGCCGTGACATCCCCAAAATGCTTGAGTTATTTAAAACTGGACATGAAATTAAAGTAGATGAAGAAAGGGAGAACTTTCTCGAAACTAAAATAGCAACCGTAAGTTACAGTGGGAAGTTATTCAGTAACCCTTTTTTTTTTTTTGCTTAAGTGATTCATTAATGATTTATAATATAATATACCAGTCCTTTGGACTTGTTGTTGTCACTAGCATTGGGAGTGGCACTAAATATGCTCATAGATTTTTTTTTATTGATTGAACTTACACATTTTAATGATACTGTAGAATTTCTTTCTTCCAAGTTATGTGCCACCCACTGACATTTACTTGGCCTTATTTGATTATCTATTCTATGTATGTTATTTTTAGTCTCTAATTTTTAAGCTTATTGAAAGTAGGGTCAAGATCTTAATGTATGTCCTATAGAACTTTGCATAATACTCAGCCCATAGTAGGTATTTAATGCTACTCTAATGGAATTGAGTAATTTATTTTATTTTTATGAATTATTTCTGATTACCCCCATATGGGTTTTAAAAATTGTTTGCCTATTTACAGAAGATGCTAGAAATCAATTTCCAAAGCTGCTTTTAGGACACTAATGTAGATCTGTCAGATTTTATAGAATTGTATTTTTAAGTGCATAGATATTTGCTAATATCTTTTTATACTAAAGAATCTCTAAAATACCTATTTAATATATATGATTTTGTTCCTGTGCAATAATTATAGGGATAATAGTAATATTGATCGCAAAATGTAAAATGCCTACCACCTGCCAGGCACTGTTTTAAACACTTTTTATATATTCTGTCTTTTAATCCTCAGACCTATGAGAGGTAAATTATTATCCCTGTTTTGTAGATTAAGATGACAGCACAGAGAGGTTAGATACTTTTTTCAAGGTCTTGTAGCTAGTATGAGGCAGTATTTGAGCCTCGCCCATCTCAAGAGCCCAGACTCTTTACCCGTGGACCACCCAGCCTCATGGCTGCAGTGATTTGAAGAGCTGTTATTCCTCCTCCATCCTACTCCTAAGAGGGATTCTGCATTATAGCCAACAGGCAGTAGTCCAGGCTAACTGAGCTGTGCCCACTGTAGATCATGAGAAAGATAGAAAAGGTGTTCAACTAGTTTTAGGGAAGAAAACTTAACTTTAGAAAGGGCAGGAGTCGGGGGTAGGAGGGCAAAGCAGGTTTAATCCAGTGAGGGATTGGGGAACTGCTCATTGCCATCATTACCATCAACGCTTAGCTCCAGTTCACCTGGCATTGAGCTCTGCTAGAATTTGATGTAGGAATTGACTTGTTCCCAGAAGGCCCGTGGCAGTGCTTCTTGTTTCTTAGGGAAGACAACATTGTAATATATAAAAAAAATTAAAACTCAAATACAGATTTTTAAGAGAGTATTCTGGGGCTGTAGAGGCATGGGTTTGAATCCCACTTCTGCTACTTAGGGAGTGGCAGGCTGTAAATAAGTTTCCTCATGTTGTTGTGTCTCAGATTTCCTTATCTATAAAATTTATGTGGTGCTATCTGTTTCACATTGAGGTTTTAAAGATTAAATAAAGTTTTTAAATGATAGTAGCTGTTGTCATTACTGTTTTGGTTGGGCTTTGGGGACTGTAGAATATCTTTTTTTAATTTTATTTATTTATTTTTAGAGAGGGGGGAGGGAGAAAGAGGGAAAGAAACATATGCAAGAGAAATATCATCCATCAGCTGCCTGTTGCAAGCCCCCAACTGTGGACCTGGCCCGCAACCCAGGCCTGTGCCCTGATAGGGAATTGAACCAGCGACCTTCCTGTTCGCAGGCCAGCGCTCAATACACTGAGCCACACCGGCCAGGGCTAAGGAACCGTAGAATATCTTTATAAGACTTTTTATAGCTAGACTTTTTTCTTTTTTTTTAGGTAATATCTTTATTATACTCAGTAGGTAGTAGTTTATATAGATCCTGACTCAATATATGAAACCATGGCATCTTATTCATTCTTCTCAACAAATACCATAGTGATTAAGACTTGAGCTGCAGATCAGACTACCTGCATCTTTTAGAGATACAGTGCTTTTTTGTAATGAAAATGAAATTATTCTGTGTGCTTAAAGAGAATCTTTTTGAATACTACTTAAATATTATAGTATAATAATGGATTTTAGAATCATACTATCTGATTCAAAGCCTAGTACTAGATTACCCCCCTTGTTCTCTGAGCTTTGTTTTCCCCCATGTAAAATAAAGTTAATAATGATACATACTTTCTAGGCTAGGAGGAATTAATATGACGTAATAACCATTAAAGACTCTACTTTGGCTTGAAATGGAGGAACAGGGACCAGATTTACCCTCTTACTAAAACAATTAACATTAACTTGATACCAAAGACAGACGAAAAAAGACAGTCCAGTATCATTCATGAACATAGATATTAAAGATGTAAACTCAGTAATAAAATAACCCCTATTTAAAAATTAGCAAAAGATTGAAATATGCCTCACAAAGGTGTGAAAACACATTGGAAGATGCTCAACATTATTAGTCAAGGAAATGCAAGTTAAAACTACAATGACATATCACTACATATCCATCGGAATAACGGAAATTAGAAGGACTGACTGTACCAAGTGTTGGTGAAGATGTGGAGGGACTGGGATGCTCACACGCTGCCCTGGGAGTATAAAGTGATGCTGCCTGCTCTTTGCAAACGGTTTGACAGTTTAAGAAGTTTAACATCCAGCTCTTATATGACCTCACCATTCTACTTTCAGATATTTACTCAGGAGACGTGAAAACATATCTCCATACAAAGACTTGTAAACAAGTGTTTATATCAGATTTATTTGTAATAGCTAAAAATTGGAAACATTCCACATTCCAGTGACAGATGAATATATAAACAAACTTTGTTGTGTCTCCATAATAGAATATTCTTTAGTAATAAAAAGAAACAATTGATACATGCTTTAATGTGGATGAATTTTAAAATAATTACGTTGAATGAAAGAAACCAGACAAAAAGGAGTTCATACTGTATGATTCTCTTTATATAAAATTCTGGCAAATGCAAAATACTGTATAGTGACAGAAAACAGACCAATAGTTAGTTGCCTTTGGAACAAGGGTAGGAAAGAGGGATTACAAAGTAGCATGAGCAATTTTGAGGATGATTGACATGTTTATTATCCTGCCTGGTGATGGTTTCTTGAATGTATACATCTCTTATAACTTAATAAATTCACACTTTAAGGATGTGCAGCAGATTCCATGGAATACTATTTACCAATAAAAAGGAACGAACTTTGGATACATGTTCCATTGTAGATGAACCTCAAAACCATAATGCTCATTGAAAAAAATCAGGCACAGAAATCACATACTGTATGATGCTATTTATATGAAATATCTGGAAAAGAAAATTTATTTTTAAAGACAGAAAGTAGATTAGTGTTTACCTGGGGTGGGGGTGGGAAAAAATAGGCATTAAGAGTAAATGTTCATAAGGGATCATATTGGGATGTTTTAAAACTGGTTGATGGTGTCCTGGCTGGGTAGCTCAGTTGGTTGGAACATTGTCCCAGTATGACAAGGTTGTGGGTTTGATCCTGCTCAGGATTACATACAGAATCAACCAGTGAATACACAAATAAAGGGAACAGCAAATCAATATTTCTTTCTCCTCTTCCTTCTCTGTTCCTCTTACTCTTTAAATATCAATAAATAAATTTTAAAATTAAAAAAAACTGGTTGATGGTAATGGTTGCCCAACTTGATCACTTTATTTAAAAATAGTTGAACTGTAAATTAGAAAATGGTGAATAATATGAAATGCAACCTATGCCTCAATAAAATTATTAAAAACATGCAATGAGTCAGAAATACCTCAATAAAGTTGTTTAAAAAGGAATAAAAATTTGTTTACCATTGTATGTAATACAGTATAACTATTCCATAGAAATATTTGTTGTAATTATCAGAGGTAACAGATTTTTTTAAAAAATCTTGAAGCGAAGTAATATAGCGTCCTTAAAAGTTTGAAGTTTCTGTGAGTGATGTTTCCTTACTATATTTTGCCACCTGTGTGATACTAGAATTGGATTCAGGGTGAGTGTGCAGATGAAAGGGGCCTCCTTATTTTGGATACAAGGAGGGTATTAAGATCAGGGTCAAGAAATATAGCCCATGGGCCAAATCTAATTGTGGCCCATTTTTAATGCAGTCTCTGAGCTAAAAATGGTCTTTGTTTTGTTTTGCTTTTTACAACTACTTAAAAATGTGAAGAATTTGCTGCAGAGACCACATTAGGCCCACAAAGCCTAAAGTATTTAATATTTTTTTTTTAAGGGAAAAGGCTTGCTGACCCCAGGTCTAGAAAGATGTATATGCGGAGAGTGAAATGTATTAGTTTTGTGTTTTTCTTGGGTATGAGAACTCAGCCACTTAAGGATGCCTTCATATATCGGAACTGTGCTAATGTGTTACAGCCAGTATCTAACATTTATGAATAGATACTTGGGGGTAAATTGGTTTCATTCTTTGCTACCATTGGTACCTATAATTTACATATTTGTGAGCTTGTGTATGTCTAGATGCTATCAGATCAAATGCTTGTATTAGTGAAAATTTCATTCAGTGATGCAGACAGAGCAGTTTATTATTGGAATATTTATACTTTATTTTTCAATCATTTATATTGCTCTCATGTAGTCATTTATTTTCTCTTGGCATGAAGAATGAATTGGTTGGGATAAATGTAAGTTATAAATGATCAAATTTAAGGAAAAGATCTTAAAGCATAAAACTAAAAATAAAGGTTCACAGGGGAGAAGAAACACCTTTCTACAAGTGGACCCTAGCTCGGGTTTTTTTTGTTTTTTGTTTTTAATGTTATGGCTCTTTCCATGAAATAGAAATGAAACTAAGGCAGATTCTCAAAAAAATGAACTTGAGGCATAATATGTACCTGTCCAGTATGTGTATTCTAAATAGCAGTTTAATTTTACAACTTTAGAATAATTTATTTGACTTTATAATAGAGCAGATAATATAATAGTCATAATTCTGCTGCCCAGATAACTCTGTTGACATTTAAAATTAATAT